CTGGATGGCAAGTTATGTGGACATGGTCTGAATGTAGGAGTGTTTAATCTATTTTTTAAATGTAATTTTGATTCCTCATTAAAAATTATGTCCCAGGAGCTGTGTGCTTTCTTACTTAGCTTTCATAGTTGATCCTTGCTAAACATCTTTCATAATCTATAAAATTTAGCTCTGGGTTATAATGTTGAGTTTACACTGTTTTGTCAGCAGAAAACATGCTCAGGTCAAACACTCTTTGAGCTCATATCCTCCTGCTTTGGTCCTCTTGTCTTGCTCCTCATAAACTAGAGAGGAAGTTAATACGTTGGGCAATACTGTGGACATAATAATTTTATTAGTATGATGTGACTAGGCTTCCATGAAGTGCTGTAAAACTTAGTTCTTACCAGAGAAAATTGCTTTAATTTGAGAATAAACTTGAAGGGAAAGAATTTACAACTTGAATAACTTACCATCTGAGTAAGACTTGAAGAATTTCTTAAGCTAGTTCAAGTCCTTGAAAGCTATTTTGCATTATAAAAGGGCTGAAAAGCCTCACCTAAATTATCATGCACTGAACTGCACAGTTTAGGAAAATCTCTGTCTGGAGAATCCGGAAAAGTCTACAGTTCAAGTGGACAGGTAGACAAAAGGATAAGAAGAAATGGAGGTACAGAACAGTGTGCCACTAAATGAAGATTAACCAGGGTGCAATGCCAGTAGGCTGGTATCCAAGTCTCTCTCTCATCCAGTCCCTTTTCCTGAGGGATAATATCGAGTATGACATCAGTGGGAACATTTCTGATGAAGTTAGAAGGCCTATGGACAGGTAGACCTCTCACCAGAAAAAAAACCCCAATGTTGTTCTTGTCCTCTTGGTTTATTTGAAGTGAGTGTCATAGTTGTGGTAGGCACCACATGCAGACTTGCACAGGTCTTGGCTATTTTGGATGCACTTGTACTGCAGAAGGCAAAGGATTTTGCCACTTCTCTTTCTCTACATTACCTTAGAAATCTGCATAGCAAGAGAAGCTTTCTCATTTCATCACTTTGAAACTGTCACTGGTATTTTATATAAATTATTTTAACCAAGATGGCTATTTCAGAGCATCCTGCTGTCGGACGCCATCTGTTTGGTAAGCGTCATCATTTGTGACTTCTGCAGTGTGGGAACCAAATGTCAGAGACTGTCAAAGCATTTTCCATCATGCTCTAATTCTGGCTGAACAGAAATCCTGTTTATTCACTTAGCTCAAGTAGTGTACAATAGACTTCTTAGGGTTTTCAGTCGAGCTAGGGTTACAGTCAAGTGAAAACTGTAGTCTTTCTACAACCAAATTTCCTCAGAACAAGAATTTTTATAGAATTAAGGTACAGATTTGGTCAAACGAGACCGTCAAAGAAAAATCAGATATTACCCTGTTGATCACTGCTAATTGTCAGTGTGCAAGGTAGATTTGGTTTTGGTTGTCTTTGGTTCTTTTTTGAGTGTGTTGTCAGTTGAATGTATTCTTCCAGGTATAAAATTAAAGTCTGATCTTTCCTGTCCACTTAATGTTCTGTTGATGTTTTCATAAACATGCAGTGTGGATCCAGCAATTTTAAATTCAGTATTCTTCCTTGTCTAAACTATCCTGTCGTCCTAAAGCTATAGTCAGTATGTTATTTTGCACTTCTGGGCCCGCTTCTCAAATTTTTAGGCTTCTTCAGTTGAAAGTTGAGTAGTCATGTTTTTGTTTAATCTCTCTTGATTTTCTATTTCTTTAAAATTCTGTATATCTCTCATGCTTATGAAATCTAGAGGCCCAGTTAAACTTCAGCATGTGGGAAGAACACAGGCAAAGTTTCACTGAACTATAGAGAAAAATACCTTGGTTATGATTGGTGACACATAATTTATTGTATCATCAGCATCCTTTTAAGCTGAGGTGGTCAGCCAGGGTAATACTGTTATGGCTTTGTGCTATATAAAAACAAACCCACGTATGATTGTGTGGTTGTTTGAGCTTTTTTTGTTTTTAATTTTTTTTCTAAATTTGTGATGAAAAATCAGATCTCTCTTTTCTCTATATTCATGTTGCTGAATTTCACAAACCAGAGTAACAATCATTTTTTTTTTTCAGGAAAATGCTGTGAATGGAGAGCATCTGTGGCTGGAAACAAATGTTTCTGGGGACCTCTGCTACCTGGGAGAGGAAAGTTGCCAAGTCAAATTCTCAGTGAGTTGTTTTCAGATTTTCTTCTCTCTTTCTGAGGTTAACAAGTCTGACTTCAGACTGATACAGTTTCAGACGTTTGGAAGCTTGAATTGTTTGTTGTTGATGATGCTTATGTTTCAGGAGAAGGAACGCGAAAGAGGCAAAAGGCTGCTGCTTAAATACGTTATTGCTTGGGAAAAAAGACCCAAACAATTTTGAGTGACACAGATTATTTACACAGTGAGAATGGATGTAATGAGTGGCTTTACTAACATGGTGAGGGAAAAAAGGTTAGAATATTCAGATGTTTCAGAAAAGTTTGCAGAAACTAGCCTATTTTATTTACACACACAAATATATAGGCTGGATCGATGGGCCGAGGCCGATCATATGTGGTTCAACAAGGCCAAGTGCCGAGTCCTGCACTTGGGTCACAACAACCCCATGCAACACCACAGGCTTGGGGAACAGTGGCTGGAAAGCTGGCCAGCGGAAAAGGACCTGGGGATGTTGGTCAACAGCCGGCTGAATATGAGCCAGCAGTGTGCCCAGGTGGCCAAGAAGGCCAATAGCACCCTGGATTGTATCAGAAATAGTGTGGCCAGCAGGACTAGGGAAGTGATTGTCCCTCTGTACTCAGCACTGGTGAGGCTGCACCTCAAACACTGTGTTCGATTTTGGGCCCCTCATTACAAGACATTGAGGTGCTGGAGCGTGTCCAAAGAAGCATAATGAAGCTGGTGAAGGGTCTAGAGAACAAGTTTTATGAGGAGCGGCTGAGGGAACTGGGGTTGTTTAGCCTGGAGAAAAGGAGGCTGAGGGGAGACCTTATCGCTTTCTACAACTGGCTGAAAGGAGGTTGTAGCGAGGTGGGTGTCGGTCTCTTTTCCCAATTAACAAGCGATAGGACACAGTCTCAAGTTGTGCCAGGGGAGGTTTAGATTGGATATTAGGAAAAATTTTTTTCACTGAAAGGGTTGTCAAGCATTGGAACAGGCTGCCCAGGAAGTGATTGAGTCACCGTCCCTGGAGGTATTTAAAAGACGTGTAGATGTGGTACTAGGTACTGGAGTATTGATTCCCTTTAGGGAAATGGTTATCTGTGTTTATAACATGTTACGGTGTATGGGGCTTTCATTAGCTTAAGAACTAGAGATAGAAATGGAAATCCAGTTAGCTTTAGTTGTGGCTAGTTTAACCTGGTCTGTCCAAAGGCTAATGCTTTTCCAGTTTGAATCTTTTGAAGACACTGCGTCTTTCTGTGCCTGTCCTGGTCTTCTTTTGACTTAACTCTTTTACATGTAGACTATTTAAGATCAAATGTTGTCAATGGAAAAGTGGTGAGAAATAATTAAGCTGCAGCTGCACAGACTTTGCATAAAATGTTATCCTATACAGAACATGAACTTGTCATCTCTGGAATATGAAGCTGACATTTCATAATAAATCAAATATGTTAGAAGTAATGGAAAAGATAATCTGAATTTTTACTTGCCTCTCACTATAAATGGTTGTAACTACTTGCAATGCCACTAGCATTCAAAAATCATGAGAATGACTTAAAAAACAAGACACTAAAAAGACAGCTGCTCTTAAGGTGTTACCTTTGTTTTCTTTTTGCAGTTTCTCACCTTAAGGATCGATTCCTTTATGTTGTCTCACTCTTCTTGGTAAATACAGAGACTAAAACCATACTTCAAGTTAGCAAGTCACAAAACACATGAAAGCTTAGTCTGTTATACAGTGTCATGATTCTTCAGATGAAATATTAGAACAACACTCCACATACAAGTCAACATGCACAGTTAGAGTGTATCTAGATAATTGAGACTCATAATTATGAGACTCAGTAAAATTATAATAATTATTCTATAATGTGAGCTGAAGTTGTATTCCCTGTTTCTTCTTGAGTTTTATTTACAATATACTGAAAACTCAAATGAAATAATTTATTAGAGATTTAAATGAACACGAATAAATTGAATGTAAAAATCTGAGGCAAAGCAATCTCAATTTACCGTGTGTTTATAAATTTTCTGTCCCTCAAGCACAGATCTGTAAGTTAAATTTCTATGAAAATGAGTTCTATCTGGTTTATTACATTGAATATATGCAAGAAAAAAAAGTAAATATATTCTCTCTCCTGGATGGATTCTCTTGCCTTTGATATGCTTTGGCCCAGGGGATTCAATGGGAATTATTTTAAAAGCCCTGCTGAAATTAATAAAACTAACCAGAATAATTAGACTGAGAATTTTATCCCTACTGTAACATTTCATAAGCATTTAACAACATTCTGTGAGAACGTTATCATTCTCTGATAAATGACCCAAGTCTTTTTCTGCAAGGCAATGGTCAGGCCCATCAAATTAAATATTATGTGATAAGCATGAAATGACATACTGGTCTGAGCTCTCTGATTTGCATATATGGTTTTTCTCCTCTTTTCACTGGCTCTGCTCATCCTTTTTGTAGGCTACTCCCTTTTAGAGCCATGAGCTGCACTGTAACAGCCTTATCTGCTACCTAAAGGGAGCCTTCTACTTCTAGTTCAAAAGCTGGAGTACGGTGGCTCTCTGTCTTTCACGAAGTCCAATTCTTAACTGGAAGAGGTTCAGACCTTTTTTCGCTATACAGAACAGCTGAGAGCACAAAGAGAGAAAGAAAAAATACATACATTACATAGAGAGACACATCTCCTGTTTCACAGCTAACTTTTTTCCTCCTGGGAGTAGCGCCCCTCCATGTCTCCCTTTCCTCTTGCAGAAGTCTGCTCTGCGGAGGAAGTGTGCTGCCTGCAAGATTGTGGTCCATAATGCGTGCATGGAGCAGTTAGAGAAGGTAAGACATTGCCATCTTCTGGAGCCTGACGTGGACAACACTCGTGTAATTCTTTTACTGAGGTTTCAGTCTGGAAAACATCATATGCCAAAGCAGGTTTTCATAGCTGTTTTGACAATATATTTGTTTAAAAAGTTGACCTAAAATTCCAGTTTCGTTTTTAAAATAGATTTCTTCAAACCCTGTGAACCATTAAAAAAAACTCATCAACAAAAAAGCACGGAATGCTTTCACAATTTTTATGATTAAAAAAGTAATTGCCCTCTACTTCTAGATTGAAAATTAAAGCTGGAAGATGCAGTATCCTTTCATGCACAAAATTGTTTTTTCAAATTTTCTTTACTAAACACAGTGTAATTCGTCTTATGACAGCTATATTTATTATGAGCAATGCAGCATAAGATGCTACTATGAACTTTTTCACTGTGTTTACTGAACTATATTATTTTGTCCTCAAAACCTCAGATATTAAGTTCTTGTTTTTAAAATGGAAAACACCACACCTTTCCTTTATTGTGCTATTATTTCTGTGAGCATCTGTCCTGCTTCTCTGTTCCTTCAAGGCGGCCCTCCTTACCTCCAGGTGCCTATAGAATATCTATCGCTGAGTACTCTTCCCATCAGTGATTCTTCTTCATCATGCCTAACTGTTAATGTGTTAAAGAAACTTCCCCCGACTGTTTTTCTTTCTTGGTGGGATATGTGTAAAGAAGTATGAGTAGGAATTTCCCTGTTGGTTTCATTAGAGCTTCATTTTCACTCCTGTATGTTTTGCAATGTTGTTGTCCATAAAAGAAGTTGATGCATAACAGATTTATAGCAGCAACCCTTTGGAAAGAGTTTTTCCTTTCCAAGTATTTGGATTTGCATTGACAAATGTCACAGTGATTGCCATAATACCAAGTTGGAGAGGTAACATTTCCACCCCCAATGCTTTTACCCACAGTGAAATTAGCATTAGCACATGCTTTCAGCACAAAATGTTACCAGTGAATTTTTCATTACTTCCTTCATCAGCAGCAGTGCTGACTCTCCATAGCCCACTGAGCTGGTGGCATTGCAGCAGGAGCAAATGAGCACTTAGATAAAACTAATTCTGTTGAGCTTGTTTGTGTCGTTCTGGAGACCATGAAATTCACATCTTGGCAGAGGTTTTTTATAAAGCCTTCATCCATCTTAAACGCTGTGGAGATTAAAACTGGTGCATAAGTCTTCTACTTGGCCCTCTCTGCAAAGATATACGTTGTAGGTAAAATAAGTATAAGCTGGGGGTCTTTCCAGCCTGCCATGACTCAGCAGTGAAACAACGAATTGTAATTCGTAATGCCCTGTACTCGGCACTGGTGAGGCCACACCTGGAATATTGTGTCCAGTTTTGGGCCCCTCGCTTTGAGAGATATTGAGCTCCTGGAGCGAGTCCAAAGAAGGGCGACTAAACTGGTCAAGGGGCTGGAAAATAAAACTTATGAGGAGCGGCTGAGGGAGTTGGGGCTGTTTAGCCTGGGGAAGAGGCTGAGGGGAGACCTGATTACGGCCTACAAATACTTGAGAAAAGATGGTGGGGAGGTAGGGGAAGGGCTCTTTACATTAGTGACGGGTGATAGAACAAGAGGAAATGGGCATAAGCTTAGTCAGGGGAGATTCGCTTGGATGTTAGGAAGTATTTCTTCTCTGAAAGGGTTGTCAGCCACTGGAATAGGCTGCCCAGGGAGGTGGTTGAGTCCCCATCCCTGGATGTGTTTAAGAATAGGGTGGATGAGCTACTTGAGGATATGGTTTAATGGGGATTAGGGATGGTTGGACTCGATGATCTCTAAGGTCTTTTCCAACCTAGAAATCTATGAATGAATGAATGAATGAATTCCAAGTGAAAAGCAATGAAGGAAAACTAATATTGCTATGGCTTTTACTTCTTCTTAAGTAATAAGTATTTTGTTTACTTTTTTATCTTGCTTTTTTTTTAACCTCTCTCCCTTGAGCTATTATTTTGAAGGCCATCATTAAATGAGGGAAGAACTTATTTATATGGGAAGGGTTGTATTTGAATTTGGGGAAACTCATTCCATCTGTCTTCATGACGAAAGCATGGCTATGCAGTATCCTTAAGTGTTTCATTCTTTGAAGGATAGTCAGCCTAAGCTTGAGTCCATTTCATTTAGTGCATCCTTACCACACATATACTTTGGCCTTTTTCTGTGCCTCTCTCTTCTTCAGTGTATTTTTTTCCCTCTCTACATCCCTCCTGCTCTTTTCTTTTCTCAAAAGTTTTTGAGTTTTTCTCATAGGACTCCCTTGTTGTTTGTTAAATGCTTCATTTTCCTAAAAATGTTTTCCATTTATGGAAGCTGCTGTTCTCTTCCTGTCTTTCCTCTCCCATCCAAAGGAAGCAACACCACTGCATGAGGCAGTACAATACTCCTCAAATGGTTTGTGGTTGGAGAGGTGGATAAAAGCAGCCTGATGTAAGCAAAAGGTAAAAATGTAGGGTAATTTGCACAGTTCTTCATGTGAATGAAGATTTCTCCACAAATTTTGTTTATGAAGATGTAAAGCTAGGATGTGCAAAAAGGTCTTGCTGTTAGATTTCCAGTTCCTATTAACCTTTGAGGCCTCAGCTTAAGTCCACTTTGGTTGCAACTGGTTTTCAGAAGACAACAGATGAAGTGGTTTCCTTCTAGGCAAGGGAGAGACAGTTTAAGTAGTTGAACTGATCAGGCAGCAATAGCATTAGTGAAGATGAGGGCTGCGTAGAGATCTAGCAAGGAAATTATTGTAGCATATGAGAAGAGGTTTTCTGGCATCCAGGTAAGTTACTTTGTTCAGTGTAGTGAAGTTAATATTTTAATAGATAGTAAATATTTTGGAAGTCTGGCCTAGATCAAAATATTGGAATAAATTCTCTCTCAGCTCACTTTCAGTTCTAACAGCTTTATTTTAATGCCAGATTAATTTTCGCTGCAAACCGACTTTCCGAGAAGGAGGCTCCAGATCTCCAAGAGAAGTAAGTAATGGATAAATAACGATTGCTTTTTATTTGATTTGTGCTGGTCCACCTGGTGTAGAGCTGCAGCGGTGCTTTTAGATTCAGAAGAGTCTTAGACAGAGTATTGGTTCCCAGTGGGACATGTTTTTCTCCCTGGAATAAGTGTAAAATGAATTCTAACTGAAGCTCTCCATTACTTATACTGACAGAAACCATTTCCTCTTTCTACTGTCTCTTTTCCCATTCGTTCAGTCTTTTTTCTTTTTTTTTTTTGGGTAGCATTTCATTTTCCTTCCTGATTTTTGAACTAGTGTTTATTATTTTCCCTGCTTCTCTCTCCTTCCACTTGCCTCTCCCTTATTTTTTTTCTTAGAAGTATCTCTACTGTCTTAAGATTTTTATTAGTGAAAAAAAAAAAAAATCATACATTCAAAACCCTAATGGTTTGTGACCAGCTACTGTATGAGTTCAGTTTCTTTTGAAGGTGCTGGACATTTATTGTTCTTGTTGCTGTATTTCTATATCTGTTTTACATAGTTATAAGCCAGTGTTTGTTGTTTGTTTTTTTTTTTAAAAAAAACCAGCTTCCTAATCAAAATAGTTGTTGAAACTTATTTTACACTTTTAGGGCTTTTGTTTGTTTTTAATAAAAAAAAGGGGAAAATATACCTCTTAACTTTTATAGTTGGTTTGGTGGCCAGAGGTAGCTCAATTCCCCATCACATCAACAGTTCTGTGTTGGCTGGCATAATAGCATGGGACAGGCAGACCCTTTCTGACCCCCTTGCCTGCACAGAAGCAGGAGCAGCAGTCCCACTCACCCTCCCATCTCTTGTGCACCCCTTCCTGCCCTCCAGGATGTAAATAGTCCAAACAGGGAGAAAAGACTGCTTCAATGACTGCTCCTTCCTCCCCTCCTTCCTTTCTCCTGCATTGACTTCTGGTTTTTTTTTTGCATTATAAGACTATTTCCCAGCAGAATAGAGTGGGGTCCTGTGTTGTGCCTGGACACAGCAGTGTTTGGGCACTTCTGTGCTCTGTATTTAGGTGATAATTATCTCCACATCATGTAATGAACTTTCTTCTTTTTGTAGCAGAGTACCAAGAGAGTAGTGCTGGACGCTGGTGTGCAGAACACCATCTCATCCTTATTGCTCCTGCAGTTTTGGTTGTGTCTGGGGTTTCCCATGGGGACAGCTGCTGCATTTTGCTCCAGAAATGATTACATTGGCTGAAGGGACCTTTCCTATGGTGTCTGTAAACCAGTTTCACACAGGTGATACCTTGGAGTGCAAGCTGCCATTGCTTCCTTTAACATATTTTTTTTGTCTGTCTTTTGCAGAACTTTGTCCGACACCACTGGGTGCACAGGCGGAGGCAGGAGGGGAAGTGTAAGCAGTGTGGAAAGGTAAGATTTCCAGTGCAACACGAGCACGGCACTGGGTACTTGTGAATTCAGGGTAGTCAGTAGGTCCTTCTAGTCACTGAAATTTCTCTATCCTAAACTCTTGGCCTCTCTTAAGCAGAAAATGACAAGGCTGGTACATTGAGTGGTAGCAGCTCTGACTCACAGGTGGGGAAAAAAGGCAGCTGCATCTGCAGAAATGAGCACATCGTGTGTCCTGGGACATTGTGCTGTCCTGGCTGGTGAAAATGAGGAGGGAGAAAGGTTGTGGCTTCTTGAGCTTCTTTCTCATTAAGCCAACCCTGTGCCAGTATGGCATTCTTGTAGTGCTGTCCTCTGTGCCAGAATGGTGATGGCCTATTTTTTCAGGCTTCTGGAAAAAGAAAGGCTGTTGCTTTCTTTCTGCCCCAGCAGGCTCTAAGATTTGTGAGACTGTCTCACATTCCCTCTGCTGCATAGATTGTAAAAGTTTATTTCTAAAAAGCTATAGAAAGGTGTAAGAAGTGCCTTAGCTACTGAAGACCTTTCTTCTGAAGTATTATGAACTCCTGAAATCTGTTGGGACATATTTAAAAATTAAATTAACACAGAGGTTTAATTTCTTTTCTCTAGCACTAGTTATACTAGTTACTAATTACAAGTATACTAGTAGTTACTATACTAGTTACTAGTTACACTTTTGCCTCTCTCTTAACATCAACTAGTAAGAAAGACTGTGTCTTGTCTCCATGGCACAGCACTTTAGTCAGAGGAAAATCAGATTTGTATCTGGATACTGATGTAGATCACCAGCTGCAACAAGGCGTACAATAAAAGTGTGATGCCCTTTTATAGCAAGTAGCATGCAGTGTTCCTATGGTATGACTTTGCAGTGATATTGCCTTCCTCCCCTGCCATTTTGGTCTGGGTCTCCCTTAGAGGCACTAGGAGTCATTTTGCAATGGGAGTGCTTACTGCCTGTCATATCAAAACCTGTGCTGGGTGCGTTCACATGGGCAACATGACCAGTCCATCCTAAAATTCGTATCATCAGCCCTGACTGATATGGAGAAGTTCAGAGGAACTCAAAGTTTTCCCCTTAAGTAAGAAATATTCAGTTAAGACTAATATGACTGTGTTGTAGTAGAGTTCTTCTTTGTCAAGAAACAGAAAGGATTAGGGAAAATAACAAGAAAAAAAATCCCATTATCTTTATTGGCCAAGCAGTCTTCTATTACAGCAAAGTACTTGCCTGTCTCATGCTCCACTGCTACTTTTCTTATACCTCTGAGTGAGAACCATCTTTTATATTCTCTTGTCATGCAAAAGGGAACTATCATTGAAATGGAATAGCAATACATTTCAAGCAGTAAAAGAAAGTATTAGTCATGGAATACCTAATGATTTTGGTAGATCTCATTGTTGTATAATGTTAGCCCTATCCCATGGCTGGAACTGGACGGTTAAGTATTTTAATGATCATTAACAACACTTCAAGTAAAGAAAGTGTTTTGGATATACACGTCTCATGCTTCAAGTCATAAGCTGGTGGAAAGGCATTAATGCTCCTCGACACCCTTAGCATGACTTTGTGGCTTTATATTCTGTGTACCTGCTGTGATACAGCTGACACTTCCTGAGAGCTGGAATGTAGAGGCGTCCGTCAGCGTTCCACCTTAGATCAGAAGTGCAGTTTGGAAGGAATTTTTCTGATTTTCGTCACTTACCATGGTTCATGTGTGTCTAGCAGCAAATGGACTGAATTCCTTTTAGATTAAACTTCAGTGAAAGTTAACTCTGCAGCTACTAATGGGTATTCAGTCCACAGGACCAGACTACAGCTAGTCCAAAGTAAAATTCTGTGAAAATCCTTGTGTGTAGTGTCCTCAGTACCAACAGAGCCTGTGCTCCCACTGTTACATATTTCTTGCTAGTGCAGATACAGCTTATATGGTCCCACCTAGGCTTTGGTTTTCTTCTCCTTTCCAGGGGGGATTTCACTGCTGTACTGCAAAAGTACTGCATGAAGAAATCGGTGCCAGGGAAGGGGGCCTGGAAAGTCTTGTTGAAAATCTTACTGAGTGAAGTGGAACCAAATGATCTATTTCTGTCTACTTGCTGTGATGATTCCCCTTTTTTGAAACTGGAGACTGTAATAGAAGGATATCTCTTAAGGCATCATCAAGCCCAGTATTCAACAGTTGGCTTATTATGGAAAAGTATAAGATGTAGCAGGTGTTTAGTGATAAACTAAACAGTATCCTGGCCCTAAACAATATCCTGGCCTCTAAGAATTTGTCTCATGAATTTCCAGGAGTGGTGCCTTTATGTTTAACAGCTTCTGATAAATTTCTCTTCTCTCACAGAAGAGATTTCTGGACAGTGATTTCTGTCTAGTCTCTCCTCGAGTTCCCGTAAAGTTGTAGCATTTACAACGTCCTTTAGCAAGGAATTCCCAAACTTGACTACATGCTGTAAGAAGAACCATGTTTTGATGGTTTCAAACCTGTCACTTACTAGTTTTTTTTTCTAATGCTTCATTGCTCTGGTGTTGGAAGTAGTGGTAAATAAATGCTTCCAAACCACAGTCTCTACACCATTCATGATGTTTAAGAACTCATTTCTTTCTCTTGCAGGCAGGAAAAAAGATAGTTTTGTAGCTTTTAGCTGTTATTAGCTGTTTGTTACCTGGGATCATCAGAGAAATCAGAATTATTTTTTTTTCTTTACATAATACAACATAAGAACGTTCAGACCATGTGGCCCAGCATCCAGTTCATAATTTTCCTGTTCAGTAACAGAAGCTTAAGGATGAGTGCAGAGTGATTCTTTCTTCATGTACTTCCACTTACCAGTGGCTTAAGGATTTATTGAGGCTGAGAATGCATCTTGGACCATCAGGCTAAACAGACACTTTATTTCTTTTTACTTTCTGTAGTGTCCAAAGCAGTGTGTCCACTATATACATACAGTGTGCAGCTACACTGTCAATCTGTTTCTACTTCTGGTCCCTTTAAAGGCATGTGGATTGATGCAGAGCTGTATGTTTTCCCTGCATAGGGAAATGGTAGGATTGAAACTTCTAGTAGTGGAAAGGCAATTCCAGTTCTTTGTTATTTTAGCAGAGATCACTGTCCATGTGCTTCTGTTGCTGTCTGTATTTGAGTTGTAATAGTACCTGGCTCTCCTACAGTAATATTGTGTTGGAGTGTCTCTGAGAGCATTAAAAAGGGAATAAATATCATAAGAAAATACATGCAAAAGTAACTATATATGTTAGTAGCCTTAACACTGATATGAAAATACTCTTTAATGATACATAAATTTGAGAATATAACCAAACCATGTTGGAGCTAGTAATAATGATATGCTGTGTTTGTATGCCTGGGTCTGAGTATTAATGTGGGCTTTGAGCCCAATTATTGAGGCAGATTGTAATCACTGACACAAGCTGGGGATTCAGGTGCTCTTTTCCTCCAAATATATTTCCTATGGTATACACAACTGTGTATTTCTACAGGAGCAGCTCACAGCATGTGATTTCATGTGTTGTACAGGAATTGGGTGTCAGTGAATCAGGGCTAATCAGGCGCTGTTAGGCTGATATTCTCACAAAGGTGAAATTAATTTTCTATCTTAAAATCTCTTGATTTATGCAGAAGATTTCCTTGCATGACTTAGGAACTAGATAGAAAAGCTGAATTTTAGTTTTCATTCTCACTGAGAGAAGGCAGAAGAGATGATTTCTGATGGAATATGAGGGAGTTCCTGTGTTTCAACCTCATAATCCCCGTTAAATCTCACTGTGACCAGCGGTACATCATTTCATCAGTTCCTTTATTTGTAAAGCTAGCTTTCAAATAATTGCTATTTTACCTCAAATGTGTATCCTTAGGAAGAATTAGCTCACATTAGTAAAGCAATTTGAGGAAGAAAAGTGATATTTTATTGCTACTTATCATTAATATGCTTTTATTGCTGTATCATTTTCTCTAATGACTCCTAAAAAGCCAAATGGCTTACTGAATAAATGAAAAACGGTCCATCCAGAACCAGACAAGCTGCTCAGTCCATATGTTTAAAATAGACCACTGATGGGCTGTGGAATTAATGTACTGAATTTTAGGTTTTATTAGTGGAGGTTTTGGGAGAGAAGAATTTCTCCCCTGCTTGTTACAAAGTCGAACAAAACAAAACATTTCATGCCCATGAGGGGCTGAAGTATTTTTTTAATATACCTTGGAACAAGAAAGAGTAAGATTTGTGAAAAACATTAAGAAGCACTAGTCTAAGTGAACGAGAGTAGGGCATTTTGTCCATTGTCAGACCTCCATTCCAACACTCGTATCATAATACCGTCACTCTGTTCTTGTGCCCACATGGAATGGCAGGCTAGATCTGTCCAGCCAGAAGCACCTTTGTGAAGCCATTTGACCACGCTCCATTGCTAAATCTACATATGTCAAATCACCATCATTATGAAGAATCTACTCTTTGAATTCTTCTGAGTGTAAAACCTGAGGCATTAGGGGAAGGATTAAAAAAAATTAATAAAATCTAGGCAGAGGTGATACAAGCCTCTTTAGGAGTAGGTCTTAGTTGGTGATGTGATCAATCTGGCAAGCTGGTTTGAATATGTGCTGGGGACACCTGAAGAAGTAGCTGCAACATGCACTTCTGCATGGCAGTGCAAATAGGGAGAGCCTCCTCCTCTTCAGAGTGTTGATAGGTTTGTCCTCAGCTACCACACATGGACAGATTGTAGCTCAATCCCTCACTTAAACAAGACCAGTGCATCTCTGGATGGGTTTTTGATTGTTCATTTAGTCCTCCTTCTTGGTGTGCTTGACATTGTCATTGCATCGAGCGCTAATAGGCTCATTTTTCCTGCAGGTGCTCTCTTCCTGCTCTTTCCCACAGCAGCCAGGATAGGACCTTAATTATAGAAGCAGTGAAGCAATGTCCTGTTAGATGTCACTAAATCAGATTATAACTCTTTGCACTGGGTCTTGGGCATTGCCCAGCACATAGGAGATTTAGGTAAAACTCGGCTTGTTGAAAAGAAAACTAGCTCACAAGTTCATGACTTGGTAGAGAGACTGAATTAGAAAATTCTGGGTGGTGATGGGCTACTTAATGTCGTAGAGAGAGAGAAGTCAGTGAATAAAGGATCCAGATGACTGCAAATCTGAAATCTAAGCAGTGGAGGTGTCTATGACAAACTGTTCAATGAAGTTCTGGACTTTCCATCTCTGTAGCCATCAACTCCCATAAATTCTCTCTCTGGCTAAAATAAACTTTAACTGAACACAAATTTTTAGGCTGTAACTTACCATTTGTTGCCTGTGTTGTACCAGAAGGGTGTATATGACCCTGTGTCTTTTCCAGCCTTAGAATTTAGAGCAAAGTGATATGTCTGCTGAAATTGCATTCTACAAATGAAACCTTTCTGTGGGAGAATAAAATCTCATATTTGCTCATGATGGTGGTTTGGGTTTTTTTCCTCTTTGAAACTATAAAGAAATATTTTATCTGTTTGATCTGAATCAGACCATCTTGGTGTTTTGGAATTTGCTAAAAAGATTTTTGATCCGAGTCAACTAAATAAAGCAATAAATGTAATTTCCCACTCAGAAGAAAAAAAGAGGGGAATTCAAATTCTTGTTTATATTTAGAGCAAACAAGACTGCAATGAGAGAATGCTTTGGTCAACAGAATCTGAATCTGTCAGGTCTGTAGAAATCCATTAAAATAGACGTTTCTTCTCTATTTCTTCTTCCTTTGTTTTTAACTACAAAATGTAAGAAAAAGCATAATGTTTTGGAGAAGTGTTTTTAAAAGTATATGTGAAAATACCTCAGTTGAAGAACCTTCTCTATGAATTGTTATTGTTTTATCCCCCAAAAATCTGTTTAGTGTCTTAAGAGTTTTGAGGCTGAACCAATGTATCTGACTGCAATGAACTGATGTAGCCTAGCACAGTCACCTGGCAGGAGTTAAAGGTGAAAATTTTCTTGTAGTCAGGGGAAATTTAATTTTTTTTTCTGCCTATTCTAGGGCTTTCAGCAGAAATTCTCCTTCCATAGTAAAGAGATTGTGGCCATCAGTTGTTCCTGGTGCAAGCTGGCGGTAAGTGAATGATACTTGGGGAGACTGGTAGCAGCTTCACAGAGTGGCCACACTGCAAGCAATTTTGTTTTGCCTGCCTCTCAGGGTTCCCTCTCTGTGATTCACCCTCAGTTTTGCCATTTATATTCATTTTGCTCAAAGACACCATAACTTCACCTGGCTGATGCAAGAGTCTTCTAGGGCGAGAGTCTTGCTGCACGATGTAGTCACTGGCTACCTCCCATCAGTGCCCTGCCGCTGCTAGCTCATATTGCATAAAGGCTCTTAATACATACAGCTGCATCAAACTAGATTGTGGTCTTATATCTGTGATCTGCATTTAAGTAGGTGTGATTGGTTTGGTTTTGGTTTGGTGTTGTGGTTTGTTTTTTTTTTTTTGTTTTGTTTTTTTTTTTGTTTTAGGGTTTTTTTTTTGTAAGAAGACATGGCTAGGGAAGATGATCTTTAGTTATATGTTCCTAAAACTCCTTGGTTTGAAGGACTTGAAGATGGTAGAATTAGGAACATTGCTCCAGTTTCTACACCATCACCCTCTTCTTCCCCTCCATGCTCCCCCCTTTGTCTTTCTTGGCCTCCTTATTGATTCTACCCTTTTCCTCTCTTCCAGTTTCATAACAAAGTCACCTGTTTCATGCTACATCACATTGAGGAGCCGTGTTCCCTGGGGGCTCACGCTGCTGTCATTGTGCCTCCCACTTGGATCATTAAGGTGAAGAAACCTCAGGTAACTGCATGCTGATGTCTGTTTCTGAAGCTGTATGGCTGTGCAGGGCCAGCCTGGCTTCGCCGCTCAGTACTCCTTCACTAAGGCATGCTTGTTCAACCCTGTCTCTATCCCTGAAACCAGCATACATCCATGGTGATTATGAACCTGTATCCTCCTGCCCCTCCATCCAGCCCTTCAGTAGATTTCCCAGTTTGGGACAATTAGCAATGAACGCGACTTTTGTTCTGAGCAAATCCAGCTCAGGTTTGTTCCTGTAACTGAGTTCAGCAAGCATACTGCAAGAAATCCCCTGTATTGTAGGCAGTCGAGCATGTTTCATTAAATAGAGCTGAGAGAATACAGGGAAAAACTGTTCACAGACATTCACTTGAACTGCAGTAAGAATTGGCTGTGTCTGGACTGGCATCCCTCTGAATTTGCCATAAATGAACATTTAAACAATCATGTCTTGTTTACATCAGTGCTTGCTGAAGGTCAGCAGTAAGCCCACATGCTCATTTAGTTGCAGGTAACAAGCATTAGACTTCAGAGTTCTTGTAATGGATGTGATACATCTTGGAAAGGATAATTTGCTGGTGAACACAACAGGGAGAAAAGGTATCCAAAAGAGAGCTGGCTAGAAATTAAAAGGAGATTCACATCATGCAATAAGTAATTCTTTTTCCTGAAAAGTCTGTTTTCACTCCAGTTTGAACTGAAAGAAACAGATAAACAAACGCTGAACATACCAGTGAGTCAGAAATACTGGTAAAAGTGTTATTTCAGAAGCACTGAAACAAGTTTTTTTTTTCCTGATTTGAATAGTGTCTGGCATATCGAAACTTCCCACTCATGTTTTCTTGTAATTTTCCTCCATTGACAGGAAAGCTGGTTTTATAGAGTAGTGGTGTGTGGTTCTTAGCGTTAGTGTGTCTGTCCCTGGGACAGGGCTTTCTGGCTCTGTGTCCTGGTTGTCAGCACGAAGCTGAGAAGTTCAGGCTGCAGGCAAGGCACTAAGACAAAATTAGTCCAATGAAACTGGAAAAGATCTAAGTTGTGACGCTGCTCAGTTTTCAGTTCCAGCCTAGCGATATGACTGTCAGATTTGTGCATGAGTAGCATTTCTAACAAGCCGGATATTAAAGACAGGGGGAAAGGGGAAATATGCATATAGAGTCATCGAAAAGTCAACCTAAAAGGCCACTATTTCTCGTTTAGGTCCAGAGAGAGTAAGCAAGGTTCCTAGCCACCTCCACTCTGAGGAAAAAGGTTTCTTTGGCATTTGTGTTTTTTCCCCCACACTCTTCTTTCCATGTTAATTTTATTCCAGCCTCCTCCAGAGAAATCTTTCTTTCTGTCTTCTTGAAGAATATTTGAGTCTTCAACAGACACTTAATCTCCTTGGTTAATTTTCAGCACCTGTGTAGTGTTTCATAGATGTATCCATGTCTGACCTTACTAAAAGAAGCCTTTCTTCAATCTTTTCTGTTTTATTTAATTTTTAGTAAAAAACCAAAAAAAAACCCCAAAAACAACACTGGTAGTTTTCTTTTGATTTGGCATTTGGCCAAAGCAGAGTACCTTTCTTGTAATACTTTTAGATAATTTTCTTTCTTGTCCATTATTTTTTCAGAAAAGTTCAAATAGAAACATAATTCTGATCTAGAATATGTTAGAATTCTAGATTATCTTATTCTATTAAGATAATAGATTAATCTAATCTATTAGATTAATAGATATTAATTATTCTTTAATTATAATTCATGGGAAAAATACTTCTAAATAAAGGTTTAAAATGTTACACTAAAAGAAAATATATATTAGCTTTGTGTGCCTGAGTCATGAGTGGAGAGGAAGTATTTCAATATTCCCTCTCCATCACATCTGGAGTCCTTGAAATTCATGGTCAGTAGCATGCAAAAACCTCATCTTGAGTAATTGAAGCACTAGATAGATCAAAAAGATATTTAGCACAAGGAATGGGTATATTTCCATGAAGCTTCTTAACAGCACCCATTGCAGTGTCAGTTCTGGGGAATGCATCCTTATTGCTGTAGAAAATCCTGTCGCATCTTTCAGATGTGTTTTCAGATTTTTGGCAGAAGTCTTGTTTTTTTATTTACTATATTTTTAGGAAATATTTTCTTCTCTCCTGCTGTTTCTGGCCAGCTCTACTTCTGTGTATTATGACCCTCTTCACCCTATATGAATGTTTTGTAAGCACTATGAAACATTCACTACATTCAATACACAGAATACAAACACAATACTCGTATTTTTTTGTAAATTCAGACAGTAAAAAATATGTAACCAGCTATCGTTTTTTCACATATTCTACAATCAGAATATATTTGGCTAGAATCCTTTTCATAATAAAATATTTCCTCAGCTCTAATTAACTACTTACATTGGTCACAGGCAACTCCTGAACTGAATTCCCTGCTCATATGAAATTGATTTTAGTGGTGCCTTCATCCTGTTTGTTGGTTGGTTCTTTTAAGCAAATAAGATGGCTTTTTGTAGCAAAACCTTGCCCTGATTTTTAATTTTAATTTTTCTTTTTATTGCTACAAAAATGGTTTTCCATGCTTATTTTGTACAACATGGGTCACCACCTTTCAGATATTGGACTTGAATAAAGAGCACACTCCTCCTCTGACTGCCAGAAAAGTTGCAGTAGTGAAGCATCGTGGCGTAATTGCTGAAGGACAAATCTCTACTGACAACCTACGTTCTAAATGGGGAGCTTTTGCTTCTTGCAAGCAATTGATTGCAAGACGAAGAATATTCAGAATGATTCAAATAGCTTTGGGATTGGTGGTAGCCCTGTATGTAATGACTCATGTACATGAATGGAAAACTCCCAGTACCTTTTCCATGTTTTTCATAATGTGAACCACTTCTATAACTTCTTTACTGATTTCCAGTGTTTCTCTACTGTGCTAGCAGCACTTCGATACCAGCTCTAATTTCCTGGGGTTCAAATCAATTCCATCTCATAGTTTGTGAGAGCAGGTCACTCCTGTTGACTGGTGGTATTTTGTTACAGGTGAGGTATGGTAGCCCAAGTGGTGTTAGCTCTAGGAATGAAATTGCTGTGTGCTTCCTTGTGGAAGCAAGTAGATAATAAGGAGGATCTGGCTGATGAACTTACTGGCTCATTCTGTCTTCTGTTTGGGAAGGCAAAGGCAGTAACTGTAAAATTCCAAGTTTTTTCTGTTCAAGGTGAGTAAACATGGTGTTTTTTTCTTCTCCTTTGAGGGCTTTGAAAAAGTGCTGGTGAATATTTAATTTCTGGGTTTTTTTTCTTTGTTTCCACAATTGCTGAGTGCAGATGGCTTGTCTGATGGTGGTTTGTGAACAACCAGAGGATGGTCAAAATTGACCTTCCAAGAGGCTGTTCAAGTCATTTGAAGCTCAACATTCTAAAAGCCTTTGAAAACGAAGTCTGAAATGTTGTCAGGGAAAAGGTTGAAAGGGTCCATTGGTTTTGCTTGAGATAGTCTGTGGCCCTCATACCACCTAACACCATACAAGGAGGACTCCAGTTCATTTGTTCATCTTGCTAAGCTTGCTGCGAACTATACTGACCATTCAATAATACCTAAAATCTCTTTTTGAAGATGGCCAAACTGACATCCACAAAGGAGAGGTTTCCTCTCTAGAGGCAAGTTAGGATTTACATATGGTGCCTGTTTAAAGGTATGCTTTGCTATCAGGTACTTCGCTGAATAACAATACACGTCTGTAAAATACTCATCACCTTGTTATGTGGACAAGGTAGTATGCATCCGTTTCTTCACTTCAGTGTGCAAAGACTGATGAGTACTCTTGGCTGTTATTCTTCTGCATGTTTGCAAAGAGAACCTGTGTATGTTTAATCAGCTTTATTGCTTTTCATATCTGCTATGGACATGTGGTTGCAACCATCGTAGCAAAGCTTTAGGTTCTCTTAACACTATAGGTCTAGGCATGCTTAAAAAAAAAGTAAAATAAAACAGGTGTGATGTAGCGTATTTTAGTGCCTTTCTGAGTGTGGAAACAAAAATTGTTATAATCATGAATGGAGGCTTAGACTAAAACCGTTTCTCTATTAGAGCTGTGTGCCTCTTCCCACCCCACCCATAGGCAAGAAAAGAGTTATGTTATAAAGGGATTTAATGACAACTACATTTAAACATTCTTTAAATTATTATTTTAAAATTAGTCAGGATTTTACTGAACTATCTTTGCCCTTACCAGAAGAACTTCACTGGGCTTAGGTCCATCCATTGTGGGAGTAGAGTAACAAGCACAGTCCTTCTTCCAGAGATGCAGTTAAGTACTTGCCTAGTATAATGCCTAACTTGAGTTACGGGATAATATTTGCCAGCAGAATTCACTGCACTTTACCAACAGGATAAGTATTTTGAATTTTACACCTGGAGAGACTGAAGTACAGGGAAAAGGCTTGATATACCTGTGACCTTTCAGCAGACTACTGGAAAGACTGTGGCTAGACTAGATCTTCTCTCTCTATCCTGTGTTTTGCCCCAAGCCAGGCAGAATCCTTCATCACAGAATGGCTGAGGAGCTAGACTAAGGCCCCTACGGGAGGCAGCTTTGAGAGTAATGTCCCGTACCTTTCTATTGACATAAACTTTTGGCTACAGTCAATCTAATTACTCAGGTAGGGCAATGAAAGTCCATACAGATGTTATTGCTGATGCATTTCTGTATTCAGTCCAGTCTTTGTGGTTTTTCATGCTTTCAAGATCAATTTATATTAGAGCAGGGGAAGAGAATGAATACTTCTTTAGGTGGTTTCTCAAAAGATGGTCTAAAAGGGCAAATATCTTGTAATTGCTCTACAGATCTGTCTTGTCTTCAGTATTTTTAGTAAGCAGCAAGGCATGACTGTATCGTGGTTCTCAAGGAATGTTCAGAGGTGACAAAAAGCTTGGGACCTTGTGCTCTACAGCTGGCTTCTCTTGGTCTGGGTGAAAAAGGACAGTGTCTTTAAGTTAGATAGCAGTTTTTCTCAACTTCTCGGAGATGTGGAGACATTAACTTGCATATCTGATGTGTCGTACTGAAGTCTTGAAATTCTGGAAGTGGTTGTTAGTATTAAACACAATCTAATAACTCTTCTTGTTAATGTTGGTTAACAAGCAGGATTAAGGACTGACGTTACTGCTTACAGATTTGATGGTATCTGGTCATTGACTTTTTTCATTAGTGGTACACTTTTGAATAAGATCAGGACAGAAGTCAACTTTTGGAAGAGCTGAATGGATCTTGCTTCCCTTCTTGAAGCCAGAAAAAATAAATCAATAAACTTTCTTCTGATTCTCTGTGTTACTTTATTTCCTGATGACAACTAGACTAGAAATTGAAATAACTGAGAAAATATTTACAGTATTTCCTATAATACAAAATTTCAATCATATGGAAAAAGTTAGGGTTTCCTGCAGGTTACAGAATTAAAATAATTTAAAAATAAAATAAAATTCCCCTTTTTGGACTGTTCTTATCACACTAGAATGCCTTTTTGTTCAATATCACTGAGCAGGCTATTGCCAGCCTGAAGAATAGCTTTGCAAGTTTTATTTTAATAGGTCCAGCAAAAATACAAGCAGTTTTATGTTGGTGATTATTTTTTTTTCCCGTGTGTAGTTAAGTGATGTTGTTATTTAAAAACAAAGCAAACAAAACCCCCACAAACACCCCGTTGCCCAAATCCTTAAATGTTAACAATTTAGTTTATTCTTTAGCAGATGATTACACAAGTTCTTGATAGGCTGGAACTGTCTCCACAGTGGCAGCATCATACGCCATGGTGGCCTATGTTATGTTGAGTCATAATGGTTGCCAGAGCTAAAACTTGTTGTTTTCTTTCCTAAAAAAAACATGAAAAATATCTCATTTGTCATGTTTTTTATTACATCTTTATGCAGGTGGTCTCCGTACCAGGAGACGAGCCTGATTGGGCAGGAGACTGGAGCCCCGAAGGGGAAACGGGCGTCTCCTACCCCTATTGGGAGGGTTGGCAGGTACAACATGTGGTGTTATGTGAGTCTATGGGAGCATCTGATCTTTTTTCCCCCTCACAGCGTGGGAAAGTTTCCAGTTCCAAAGCACCAGTCTGGTCTCCGTGTGTGGCTTTCTCCATAAACGGTGGTGTGGAAGTGTAAAGCATGCAGCGCATGTAATTTAAATCTCAAGCATGTGCCAGATACTCTTATCATTCTCCAAGTGGACATGCATGGAGGAGCTTCGTAAAGGGGCTCTGTCTGGGCCTGTCTTCTAAATTTTGTTTTGCTTTTCATGTATTCTTTTTTCTTTTGATGTAGAACTCATTAAAGACTTCAACACGGCGAAAGAAGAGAACATCTTTTAAAAGAAAAGCTAGCAAAAGAGGCAATGAAGTAGGTATTCAAGTGCTTTGGAAATCAGTCTCCTGTTTAAATGTCTAAGTGTAGACTTTAAAGTTTATATTTTTTACTGCAGTGCTTAATATTTTTTTTTCCACCGGAAAATTCCACGCTATTGAACTTGTTGTGAGAAGAGATCGGTTTTGATAAAACTTGTATGAGAAGTTTTATTTGCTGAGTTGATTTTTTTTCAAGAAACAACATACCAGACTCCAGAAGGACCAGCAGCCTAATGAAACAGCATTCCTTTGGAATGTAAGAGACTCAGCTCAGATCCTTGGTTTTCACTAGGCAGAGCAGGGGTGTGAAACTGAGGTTGTGAAATCCACGGTAAGTGCACTGATGCAAGGGTCTGGCCCAGTTTGAGGGTGTCTCCCTCAGGAGATCTCATATTGGAAATATTCTGTTTGTGTGAAAATTGACATTGGGTCACAGAGAGAGAGAAAAAACAGATGAATGATCTGATGATTTGATTTACCACGTAGCTTATAGAAGACCTTGTTTCCAGACCCTGCCTAGTGGATTAATTATGAGGCTGTTTTTCATCTATATAGGAGAGATGGAGGGAGACTCACCTCTGCATAACCAGGGCTGTCTGGTTAAGGTCCTCACTTGGGTGGTGAGAGAACTGCAGACCAGAAACTTGAATCTGTCTGCCACAGCCCAGAGGAGTGCCCTCACTACTGGGCTCTCTGGTGTCCTACAGGCATAGGGAGTAGAGGGACAAATAATTTTCTCATTGACACTTCATGTTTGACCTGTGGCATTTGTTCAAGGGTGGGAGGGCGGCAAGGCCAAGAATTCAAGAGCAGATGATCTGCAAATAAATGCTGATACAGCTTGTCTGTTAGATGGAATTAATGAAATAGGTAGTTTATTTCATTCTATTTTCCGTTGGGTAATTGTTCATATTAGAAATAGCACTTTGTCTGACACGCAATTAGCACTGTGTGAATAATTGGGTTTTTTTGAAATAACATTGAGTAAAATTTTAAAATAGTTTTGTGCTGTCCTAAAGTGATTCCCACTGCCCCTTGCCCCCATTTTCTTACTCAGTTGTCTCAGCTGGATAAATTAGTCCCAGCTGAGCACCACATTAACATGGCTGTACCATTTCCAGTACCTGAGGTAATTTTGGCAGCGCTAGATTGAGTCTCCTGCATGTGCTATGCCAGGAAAACATACATAGCTTGTACTAAAGTTGTTTCTTGCTTCTGTTTCTCAGGATAACAAAGGTCGGCCATTTGTGATAAAGCCTATCTCTTCTCCACTCATGAAGCCGCTGCTGGTTTTTGTGAATCCCAAAAGTGGAGGGAATCAGGTAAGAACATCACCTGGATCCGAGTCACAAACTTTTAGTTTAACAACAGTGTTTCTGTAAATGAGACTATTTCTTGGTCAGTCAGATAGAAATCTATGCCTGAGCTGCAGTCCTCCAGAAGTGGTCCTTGCTCTGCCGAATGCCCTTTCCACTTCAGTGGCATTGGATGGATGGAATGGATACTCGAGTGTTTGAGCAGTTGTGCTCCTATCTTCAGAATCTTGAAAGGAATCTAAAATGATAGTTCGGAGGTTTTCAGAAGACTTCAGCTTTTCACGGAAAATTTAGATTGCCAATGAAGTCTTAGGCTTTTATCCAAAATGTGATTTAATTTTACTAGGAAAGCCTAGTGAAATTGATGAATGTGAAATGATCCATTCCTATGGCATTTAAAAAATCATTCCTGGTGTTGTACTGTACCATAAAGAACAAGTTGTAGTGACTAATATGCAGCAGATTTCTTTCTTAGGGTTCTTAGAATTAAAACTTATCCAATTGAATGTTTTCCAGATTAGTTCTGCCACTTTTTGAATATTGAATAATCTGAGTGCCTTTTGATAAACTGAGCCTTCTAGTTGAAAAGAAAGGATTGATGTAAGATACAACAGAGTCCTATAGAACATGGAGAATAGCATGGCCACTGCTCACTTTCTCCTCTGTTAGAAGAATTAGGATGGATATCACATGAAACTGCTAAGACTCTGATTCAAAACAAAGAAAGAAGTTGGTCCTTCTCACAGTGTGTAGTTCAGCTGCAAAATTTGCCATAGGATGTTGTGGGTGCTAAAAGTACACCGGCTGAAGGAGAGATTTGGAAGAGAAAACCCTGAAGGTTACTAAAGTCCTTTACCCACCTCTGGCTCAAGAGTTCTATGAACTACAAATAGCTGAGGCTGGCAGAATACCTACAGCAAACATTGTATTTATTTTCTCTGTTCTTATACCTTTTCCTAGGTACTTTGACTGCTGTTCTTAGTTCTCCACTTAGGGGAAGATGTCAGACAGAAGAGCCATCCCTCAGAAGGGGGAAGCTATTGAAAATTCCTGACTTGCACTCCCCAGGCCATGTCTGAAAGGCATTCTTGAATTACTTTGGAGTACAAGCTCGCCCCATAGGATTCTTAGCCCTCTTCCGCTAGTAAGAGATCCTGCCACTTTGTGTCTGGGCAGAACATGATGGAAGGAAATTGAGTGTCTGGAATATGAACCCCAAAGTTTGAGAAAGCTGAAATTATATCTTTAGGTCATATGCTGGCCACACTGCGCTGAGTGAAGGAGCATTGTGCCAGCTGTAACCCATAGAGTCCTTGACTCCTGTTTCATTAGATGGCAGAGGGCTACAGTTATGAATGTTGATGGTGATGATGGAGGTCAAAGCAATGCCATTGCTTGGATGTTGGGCAGGACACTGTTCAATGTGGTGGTGACTTTGCCCGCAAGCTTGTTCGACTTACTGTCACGGATGGCTGAGATTGGTGTGGGATAACAGAGATTTCTTCTTGTTGCAGGTGGTGAGAGGCAGGAGAACAGGTTGCTGTGGGAGCTGAACCTTTGGTCTGACTCCAAATGCCTGTTCTTGTGAACTATTAGTGATCTGTTGTTAAATTTAATCTATATGTATGTGTGTGCACCCCGCCCGGACTGGGGGGTTGCTATTCTGTAGAGCAGTCATCTGCTATGCCACTTTCTAGTTTGTCTTGTTCTTGGTTTGTTTGCTTTATTAAGCACAGAAGAAAGAAAAGCAGTCCAAATATAGTTATCAATGAACACTACTATTTCTAATAATCATTAAACTATTCATAATTTCCTTTTCTTTGATTTTTCTCTCTTCCCAGGGCACCAAGGTTCTCCAAATGTTTATGTGGTATTTGAATCCACGGCAGGTCTTTGATCTCTCTCAGGAAGGGCCAAGAGATGCGTAAGTTGTTGAACCTTCAGCACTACGGACCATAATTATTTTCTGATCAGAAAAGCAGGCAAAGGTCTAGCTTGGGTAGATTAGTAGACTGTGCATGAGGTTTACGTATTCAGGCTTTGGTAGCAGCGAGGAGGGCTGCAGTGCTGGCTTCTGTGAGAAGAGATCAGGAGCTGTCAGACACAGCCAGTTCCAGATGACTTCAAGACGGATTTGCTGCTGATCTCAGGTCCTGACCATTCCCTAATGGCTGAGCAATGCAATGGAGTGAGGCTGCCTCCAGGTTTCCATACATGACAGTAGCATGCAACTATCTCTGCTTGCTGAGTAACTCAGCTTATCTGGGAAATAGTTGAAGTGTGAGCCTCTTCCAAGTGAGGGAAGATGTGTCTTTAAAGAGCTGATTCTCCCTGCGAAGGATTAAGAGACTGTCCTTCTATGGTATTTGAGACAGGGATCCTTGTTTTACTTAACCATCTGTTCAGCACTAGTTTCACAAGTTAGGCAGCACCAAAAGGTAGTAGTAATGTAAAATCAAATATTTACCTGTGTAAGAGCAGTCCACATATTTGCTATTCAAGACACCCAAGCTTTTTTCCCTGCAGAAACACCTCCACTTCTGATCCTCTCATAATGTGTAAAAGCTTTTAGACAGACACACGGTTTTCCAAGCTGTGTAATGGAGTTAAAGGAGGATTAGGTCCTCTGGTCACTCAGCTCTCTATATGTGAATGTACCCCCTCCATTAGGAGGTATATCATTATGTCTCTTTTTCATGCAACTGAAGGAGCAAGTCTTCAACAGGCCCTTTTTTGGCTCTCCAGTTGGTATCTTAGATCAACTATCCAGAGAAAGAACTCTATTAGATGTTCTTGCCTTCTGTGGTGTTAAAAAAATATTTATCAGTTGAAGAAGTGATCGTGTTCTATATGCCTCAGAAACGGTGGCTCAGCAAATCCTGATGAGGAACACTAAATTTTGTTTAAAAAAACTCAATGTTTATATGTGTTTTCTTTAGGATAAGAGAAAAATTTAAACTTTTGTCATCTCCAGAGAGAACATAAGAATCTGGCCTTTCAGATTTAGCATGGGAACATGCTGAACTGATCAAATACTTCTCAGGAGGTGCTGCCTGACCATGGAGGAAGACCCCATTTCACATCCTGGTGGTTTTGTGTGTGTGTGTGTGTGAAGATGTGAAATTAGCCACAGGGCTCAGGTTTGGTTGGGATCGATGCCACCTGTGGCTGCCAGGGCTGGTGCCTCCTCACTGCCAAGTCTTTTGGTAACGCTGAGATTTTTTTTTTTATTTTATTTTTCTACCTCCACCCACGTTCTTAATAATGAATATTAGAAAATACAGTAAGCGACGGTTGAACTGTTACTCAGAAAAATGCATAAAAAGTGCCTGCGTTATTGTTCTGACTTTTTTTTTTCCCTTTTTTCCCTTTCCCTCCTCTGGCCAGGCTGGAGCTGTACAGAAAAGTGCCAAATCTGCGGATCCTGGCCTGCGGTGGGGATGGGACGGTAGGTGGCCAGTGCCTGGCAGCCCCTGTGGTCATCGGCCAAGTGATTAAATTCCTCACAGTTGTGAGTTTCCCACCTTGTGATGCGTGCAGAGCTGGATAACCTACCTTACGTTCGTGAAATCTGCTTTTTTTAAAAAAAATAATTTCTGTGTGACCTGTCTGCATAGTGGTAGGACCAGATCCTAATTCCAAGGTCCCATCTGCTTATGCATAAAGATTTGGTACAGCTTAAAAAGAATAAAGACTAACTTTGCTAGCCTCTTCTTGATATGTTCACACAGATCTGAGAGTCTAGCAGGTTAAGTCAGTGTCTGGGAGACACTTAAATCTTAATTTCCACTCCTTCCTACTGTTGTTTCCATGATGTCCGAGTACAGTCAAATAGGGTTTGTGAAAGTGAGAAAGTGAGTTTCCCCGCTTTCTTTACAAAACATCTGTGAGGAAGGATATCACATTGGTCATAGTACTAGCTTGAGATCTGGCTGATCCAGGCTCATCATTTTTCTTTGCTACTGTATTTTCTGTGTGTTCTTGGATAAGTGAATAGGGTCAAATCTACAAAGGATTTGGACACCTTCAGTTGGAGACAGGCTTTACAGTTCAAGGTCTGGAGGCCATGAGTGGTAATGGAGGTATTACCACCACATTACTCTTTTCAGTACTTAGAAATATTGTAAATATAAGCCTGTGCCACTGAGTGCTTAAATACAGTTGAAAAACTGACCTTTAATCTCTGTGAAGCTCAGTTCCCCAAATGTACATTTGATAATAGTTGTAACAGCAAGTATGGTAAGGAAAATACTTTACTGCTTGCAAGGTGCAATGGCTGGCCAGGATAGATATATGTAGATATTTAGGGCACAGGGAGGATTTTTTTTTTTTTTTTGCAGTGAGCTGGACCCCCACCCTTAAAGCATCTCTGCTTGAATTTCTGGGGGTATTTTCTGTTCAGCTTCTGTGGGTTCTTTTAAAACTGCAGCTATAGGTGTTATTACTACCAGTGCTTCCCCTACAAAAGTGAAGGAAAAAACCCATGATTAGTCTACTGAGTTGCTGGTACCTGGGAAAATAAGATGTTACTTGTTACTGAATTGTGAACTTTCCTTGAGAAACTTGCAAGACATTGCTTTAGCAGGAGGCATAAGGTGCAAAAAAAGTGTTTCAATCTGTTTCTGAAAGTCTTTTTCTTCCACCCGAGGAAGCTGATATTTTAATAGGGGGGGGGGAAAATTTCATCCTGAAAATATTAAAATAGAAATTAAGGCAACTACATTGAGTTTGACCATCCTTTGTTCTCCCTTTGCTGAGCAGTGCAAGCGACAGGTGGCAGCACCTTCTCATTAGTATGAGCAGTGCTCCACTACTACCTTCGCTGCTGCTCAGTTTGAAGCAAATTAATATCTAGTTATTCCCAAAGCCATTACATCTAGAAATGAAAAATCTGACTCAAATGGTCTTAGTGAATATTCAATGAGACCAGATGTTACCTCGCTTTATGGAGGTGAATCAGAACTTATTTTAACTTTTCCATCATCGCTGCTTGCTGTTGCTTTCCAGGGCATAAGTGGAAAGCTGTGCTTTCAAAGCAGTCAGGAGCTTTCTGTTTACAGGGAAATTATAGTCTTTGTCATCCTTGATTGTAAAACTAACGTGCAAGGCTTAGAAATGACTTCAAGTTAAAAAGCAATGTTGTGCTTATAAATTAGTAATTTGAAGTTTCTGTTTATCAGTTAAAAGCATTTACAAAAGTGATAGGTATTGTAATGCTACCTGCACCAGTGGGAGGCTGAGACATCACAGATATATGGATTAAGTCAGTGGTGATGACAAAGGGCTAATGACAAGAGACTCTTTAAGAAATCCCGGCCCCAGTGAAGTTATCGGGAGTCTTTATTCTGTCTCCTGTTACCAATACTGAAGGATAGAATTTTGAAAGGTAAAGGATTACTTATCTCTGAAAATCTCTTCAGGACTTTACTTAGTCCTACCATGGTGCCTCTGATAGACCTAGGTACCTTTGGTGACATCTGAGTTCATGAGAGTTGTAAGTGCTTCAGATGACTGTTGTCAGACAATGAGCTCTAATGTGGGTTCACATCCCGGATGAACGCTTTAATAATTGTACAACTGGTTATGATAAACAACTGTCTGATAAATGCCATTTGTACTTGATTAAATTTCTTCAAGAGACTTGGAGAAAGACATACCCTAGAATACCGAATGGGGTAGCAGTTGCTATAACTGTCAGGCCAACCCTTCTCCATTCCGTCAGATTTCAGCTGTAGTTCCTAATGCCAATGTTATGCTGGGTACCTCTTGTGAAGCTCAGGTTTCACCCTAGTTTGGGATAAGAACCTATTTGGAATCATAGTAATAGGGATTTGGGAATTTTTCCTCCTGCCATAGTTGGAGGAGGAAAAATCCTGTCCAGCTGCAGTCAGGATTTCAGTTTTATGTCGTATTTAAAAGCTTACGTTTTCAGTAGAGGCTGCATCTTTGAACACTGGAGTCAGGAAAAAAAAAAAAAAGATTAGATTTTATGATCTTTTTTTTTTCCCTTAATTATTTATTTAAAAATGCAGCACAGGTTCTTTCACAGACTTTGATTCTTTTTTTTTTTTTTGTAAAAGTGAGAAATCATTTAAGAAATAGTCATATTTTCTTGTAGCAAGAATTTCAGTCATAAAAAGTTTCAGAACATTTTCAGGAACTCTTCTTTGTCATCTTGGAAATTACCATTTAATGAAAACAAAATATTTTACAGTAATTTATTCCCTCTGGCTAAATTTCTATTTAAAAGTTTTATGTGGTCCAGAATAGAGACAGGAGAGAGAAACAGCTCTCTAAAATAACCAATAGCTTATGATACAAAACAGACAGATTCATTGTTCTAACCCAAAGTCTTCAACCCTGAGCATTAGAATTGTCTTTTATTCTAGTCATTTAGTCTTCTATTTTTATATATATATGTGTGTGTGTGTATCATTAGAATATGTATCTTTTATGCTTTGCACTGAGTAAAATAATTCAGTGCTAAGGTCTTGTCTGGGGAATGGGAGACCTGTGGGCAAGTCTCTCTTCTAGTGCCAGGACATGCTCTGAGATACCACACTGTTTTAATGTGTTTCTCACATCTTCTTTCATGACAGTTGTCAAAAGTTGAGTTTCTTTTAGCATACAGACACATAAAAAATGTCATCTTGAATCATCTGTACTATTCGCTCATTTTTCAATACAGTGTTTTTCAGAGCAATAGTTAGGCAGCCTTAGTCAGGTGTAGTTCTGTATGTTTTCATTGCAGAGTTAAATTTCAGATATGCTCATTTTTCCTTCTCCCTTTTGTTTTACTTCATCTTCTCTGTGAAGGGGATATGATCAAAATACGTCTTTTTCTATTTTTCCTGTCCCTTTTAATCTTCCTGACTAACAGTTTTCTGCATTTTCCATTTCATAGGTGGGCTGGATCCTCTCCATCCTCGACGAGCTGCAGCTCAGCCCCCCGCCTCCTGTGGCTGTCCTTCCGCTTGGCACTGGGAATGACCTTGCCCGCACCCTCAACTGGGGTGGGGTAAGCACTGACAGGGGTATCCTTATGTGCGGGCTCTCAACTTGCCGGTCTGATTTAGTTGTGTAGTAGGGTGACATTTCATTTTGTTTAAAATAGTAGGCAGGGCTGTGTCCAAGGTCTGCTTCAGTTAGGCACAATGGTTTGGTTCAATTTCCAGTCTGGGATCTTGAATTTCTTGCCGTGTAGTTGTGTAATAAAAGTGTATACGGATGTATCTGTCTGGTATTTCAGGCCAAGGAATGAGGAGTATGTGCAGGCTTCTAATTTAAGCATAGTTTAAACTTTATTTCTCTATGTTTATCCTTCACTACACCACTGGAGTGTACTCCAGACAAGGCAAATACACTTTGAGTTCGTCTCAATATGGTCTTACTTTGCCTGTCCAAGACTTGTGTACCTCAGCAATAACTTGTTAAAATGCTTGATGTATCCAAACGTAGCAATACTTTGAGGTGTTCTAAGGAATAGTTGATCTGGCCTCTGTGAAAGGAGGGAAGTCAGCCAGGTAATTGGCAAGTGACTTGCTTTTCTTTCACTGTCCATGGCTGATACTCTGGTGACACTCCCTCTGCTGTCAGGGTTACACAGATGAGCCAGTGTCCAAGATCCTGTGCCATGTAGAAGATGGGACCATTGTCCAGCTGGACCGCTGGAATCTCCAGGTTGAGCGCAACCCTGATTTGCCACAGGATGAGCTGGAAGATGGGGCACGTAAGGTTAGAGCCTTCTTTTTCCCAAGGAGACTACAGGATGCTTAAGAGCATCTTTGGGTTACTCTATAAGATGCACAATTGGGAAGCTCTACAACTTTTCGATTGTCTAGTTGCATTTCTTCCTTTTACTCCTTTCATGTGTCAATGCTTCCAGAGGTGTGCGAAACATAGTACATACCAGCCATTTATTTGTTGTTTGTAAGTCTCAGACATTGAGCATTTACTTCAGGAACTAAGTCCTGTCAAAAATCCCTGGCATCTTATCTGAAAGGTTGTAGTTGTTTGGTTTTTTTTTTGTAGCTAACGTGAAGTAGCAGGAGAAGCAACCTTGTGACCACCTAAATTAGATTCCTAAATTAGAGATATAAATATAAAAACGGGATGTAGAATTTTCTTCCTTTGGATTTTGCTAATGGATACCAACTGTTTCCTACTTTACAGCAAGAAATAGTGTATTTTTGAATTTAACTTCTTTGTGTGCAAGGTCTCCATGTGATCCTGATAGTTGAAAAATGGGAAAATCTTTGTGAGGGAATCACATTTATAGTAATATGTCATTTGGACTGGAGATATTGAAAGTGTTACAATCATTAAAAAATCATTGTGAACCATTTTTCTCTTCTCAGTTAGAATTTCCAGCTTATCTATCTGATGCTACTGTTCTCTCTCTACAGCCCTGCTGGGCATGTGTAATGATGAAGAGGACAGATGTGTGCTTCCCTGTCTCATGCACCCTCAATAGGATTAGGGCTTCTTGTCTGGAATTTGCATTGCTCCTGGTTATATGTGATGCAGGAAGAACACAGCTTGAGTTGCATTCACCATGCTGAGCTTGAAGTGCCAGCAATTAGGAAAACCTTTGTATTGACATGTTAAGTAGAGCATCGTTGTGAGAAATCTCGATGACAACATAAAGAACCCTTTGATGTGTTTACAAAGATACATATATGATCATAAGGCACTGTAGATGTGTTTGTGTTCTTTAGGCTTTTGTATCTGGTCATATTCCACAAGCTATTACTAACCTTCAGAGCAACCTTCTGCGTACATTTCCCTAACATGTTCCACATTCTTCTTCTTAGGTTTTTTTTTTTGATATGCCAGATTTAAAGTAGTTGATTCCTGGTGTGTCATGGAATGTTTAGTTCATGTTATTTTCACATGTCTTTTGATTATCCAATTACAGCTTCCACTCAGTGTCTTCAATAATTACTTCAGCCTTGGATTTGATGCACATGTTACACTGGAGTTCCATGAATCTAGAGGTAATAGGAACTTTTTATTTCCTTAGCCTTGGGAATGGGCAGTTATGTTATGAATTACAAATCGAGTTGGATTTAACATCCTGTTCTTATAGTTCAGAAGGAAAGCTGGGAGATAAAAATCCAATATACAGTCACAAGTAGGAAGAAAGTGATTGTATCATGAGTTTCCAAAGGACTTTAAAAATGAAAACAGTACAAGGAAAAATGGCATTCACTGGAGGAAAAGGGCTAGAAAAGGAGCTTTTAAAAGTTTTTGATCTTCTAAAAGATATACCAAGTACAGATTTAAAGGAAGTTTATGCTGATGCACAAATATCAGAATAGTAGGAAACCAGATACGAGTCGTGCCAATTTTCCCTCCAGTGTGGAGCTGGAGGGAGGACAAAAGCTGCGAAGCCGTTTAAGTAGCAGGGTAGCAGGAGGATAACTGTGCTCTCAAACTGAAGAGCTGTTACCTATGGATGAGTATAGCATAATATCAGGGGACTTGGTGCAGACCCAGAGTGTCTCTATGCAAGTGAAAGGTTTTAATGAAATCCACAAAACTGTCAGGACTTCGAGCTGTTGTAGAGTCTTCTCTGTCCCCTCACCAAGGGCAGTTGTACCACCCCATATAGATCCAAATGTGGCTTAACAGGTGAGCTTTGGACTGATGTGAGCTGCTCCATTTATATGGTTTAGGCAAGCATGCTTATATAAACAAACCTTGTTCAATTGTCTGTGTTCAGCTTTTGGTCATTTCAGCTTCATATGCAAGTATTTTTTCTGAATGACAGCCTCCCTTCTCTTCACTTTCATACTACCAGAGTGTCATTTCAAGATGAAAAGATAGCACTCTAATGCCATGCTAAATAAAGAGCAGAATTCTTGATGGAATGAGCTAATGCATATTTAATAATGTTTAAGACTGCTCCAAGCTTTAGGAATAATAATGAGAGGCCACAAAAGGGCACAGGAATGAATGATGACAGCTGTATGCATTTTTTTAATGAATGCATATCACTATGCATTGCTAATGTGACTGTGAATATACTGTATAGATGAAATGCATGGCTACTTTCTCACTTAATGGAGGCATTACTTAATAATGAAGTAATGGAGCCCTATAAAGAATGGATGTTATTCCAGAGACGCCAGTGTTTTAAAAATTTACATGGGTGAAAAAATACTTGGCAGAGCAAGCTGTGTGTCTGTGAGCGGGTATGTGTGGCCAGGAGAGCTTTTCACAGCACAATTGTCTGCTCTTACAAGTCATTAGCGCTGGTATCTTCCTTCCCCTCTCAAATGCTAAAATACTCAAATGAGTCCTATGTGTTTTAGGAGAGAAAAGCTTGTAGCCTTGGAGGTGTTGCTGGTGTGTGGGTTTTACTGTGTTTAGTGTGGAATTCAGCAGTGCAAAACAGATTCCCATCTCATTTACAATTTATGACAATCCAGAGGAACTCTTAGCAAACCTTTAGCAAAACTTAAAGCACTTTCATGGGTGTTGCACTTGGTCCATTAAGATAAGTAGTTGTATGCAGTTACTTATGTGGAGCTATTGTAATCACATGTAGTATTAAAACAAGCACACACCATGGTGCCTCATTCTTCCCCCTCCTCACCCTCTCCCCGCCAAACCGAAATAAATTATATTGATTTGAACTTCCAGCCTATCAGGGCATTTTATGCAATAGAGATTGGTAAACTGTTATATTTAGAATAAGGAGCGATTGCAGTGTCTCGGAGGAACCTGTACATTAATGTGGCCTTTTCCATGGCAACTTCTACACTTTTCTTGTGACTAATCAGATTGAGCCTTGAGGGTTGTCTCCAAGCCTAATGTATTTAGCTCTGCTTCCTCAGGAAGTGTTCTGGGTAGTGACTGTCTCCAGAGTCACGGTTTCCTCCCTCGTTATCTTTATGCTTTGGTGGATCAAGGGAGATGCAATTTACCTTATCCATGCTGACATGCTGTTTGCTCCCTCAGCTCTCCAGGACTGTTCATTTACAGGACACCTTCACTCCCACTCGTGCACGCACACACACATGATAACATTTGCCTTTTCCTGCTCTCTTGATAGCTTGAGAAGAGTGAGAATAGAGTGAGCCTTGTATATGTAGTCAGTGATCTACAATCAAAATTGCACCCTAGTCAGCTTTAGGCTCTATTCTGCATGGCAGTCCTCCCTTCCTACCCATGCTCATCTGCTATGTCAGTGGTAGGAGCAGTTCAGTATATTGAAGGTTCTTGACCTCAGAAAGGCTCCTTTTCTGATTAACCAGTTCCAAGCTGAGTCTTTGGTTCTGGTCAGTATTTGTCATAAGATCCATGCAAGAGCCAGTGACCTGGTGGCTGCTGCCCAGAGCCATTGGGGGATAATCACATCAAGAAAGTGCAGCATGGGCACTGAGCCTCAGGAGCTTCCCGCTTCTTAGCCTGGAATGTTGAGACTTTCTTTAAAGAGCTGTGAGCTCAGTAAGTGAGATGAGATTTACTTATGCAGTTAAATTAATCGTTTTAAGAACAGGTGGCCCTGACTGTGTTCCTGGCTCACCTGCAAAGCAACAAATGGGTGATAACAGTAGCTGGGCAAACAATCAAACAAGAAACACGGAGTAAGTAGCTTATTCTTACAAAATGGAGCCTTATATTGTGAGATGTAGTGGCTTCAAAGAAACATGATTTCAAGTGGTCGTTTGAGAAGAAGTAATTTGGAAGTGTTTGCACCGGTGTGATGCTTTAGCCAGAAGGACTATCTTGATACTCGGATGTTTTCAATAGAGAATTACTGAGCAAGGATACCTGGTTGGTACTAACACTGAATAGAGTGCCAGAAGGGCTGCTTCTGAAATCTCTGGCTGCCACAGGCTAGGAAAGCAGTTCCCAGGGAGGCACGAGAATGACCTGTATTCTGGGAAGCATGCCGTATACTGGAAGATTAAAGGAGCTCCATTTAGCTTATCGGAAAGAAGGTTAAGAGGTGATTTAATCACTGCCTGTAAGTATTTATTCAAGGAGAAGATATCTGATACTTGGGGGCTCTTTAATCTGACAGAGAACTATAATAAGATTTAGCAGTTGGCAATTGAAGTCTGAAAAGTTCAAGATAGGAAAAAAACCCCACGTTTATTTTAAAGGTGAGAATAATTAACCAGTAGATGTGCATTACTACTGGACTATTAAAATTCTCCATCACTTAGAGTCTAATCAAAATGAAACAACTCTCTAAATAGGTTTTAGAGTAACCACTTTTTTTTTTTTTTTTCTGGAGGAATATTTGAGTAGAGGTGTCTATTCCTCAGTACCTCTTTGTAACACATCAGAATTTAAGTGTCTGTTTCATCTGATAATTTACTAATGCTTTACTCCTGCTTCAAAGCATGGGTTAGCATTTCATGGATTTCTAGTAGTTCTTAGAGGTCTGTCTGTGTTGGTAGATATATAAGTCTCACAAATGGTGCTCAGGGGTCATAACATGAATAGTCTGAGAGATGCTAAATTAACTGATTGTATTCTTGTTACCTCTTTGTTCATGTTTCCATCTATTTTCACTCTACAGGAAAGGGGAAGAATTCAATATCAGTGTTTGAAATCTGATAGCAGATAATGGCACAAATGGGGGACTCACACAGGAAAACTGTATTTATGTTAATATTTTCACTGAGAGATGTGTGCTAAAAGCACTACAGTGCTAGCAGAAACTGGAAGGTACGATAGAGTCCACTTGTTTTATTAAGGTGTTTGTATTTTTTCCTTTTTATCCTTTCACAGAAGCAAATCCAGAGAAATTCAACAGCCGATTTAGAAATAAAATGTTTTATGCAGGGGTGAGTTGTGATTCATCTTACAGAATGATGCAAACTTAGTTGTGTTAATGTTTTCTTAAGTATCTTCCCTCTCACTTTCTCACATCAGGAGTTCATGCCCGTTCATTTTGCCTGTTACAATTTAAAGTGCACATACACTGTTTCTGGCAATGCCCCACACACTTGTCTGTTGGAAAGTACCTGAAGCACTGTTTTTTTACAGTGCTTAGCAGGTGAGAGAAATGCTGTTCCTTTGGACATAGTACTGGTCATGTCTTTTTCCCCCTGCTTCTGGCTTATAAGCTTCTCAACAAACTGCTCTGCTTCTTTCAGGGTTTGGGCAATACATTGATATTGACCGCCTTAGAGAAATTCCTCAAGTGTTGGCCTGTATCTTTGGTAGCTTTGAGGCATAGCCTTGGATGTGTAGGGTCATGAGGAGTGGAGGGCAAAGATCAGCTCTTCATAGTGATTCATTTTCATATCTGAATATGCAAATAAAATTACCCACTTCTGTGTTCAGGAGGTGCATGGACAATGCTTTATTCTAAAATGCAGTTATCGAGTGCAATGCTAATTTGATAATGCATAGCACAATGTCTTTCTGGATGATGACTCCCACCGTAGCCATGTGCCTTAAACATGGAAACAAGTATGTAAGCAAGAATTTGCATTTAAATCCTTGGATGCCCAAGAGCCTTCTCTGGTTAACCTCTCAAAAGCAGAAGTAACATGATTTAAAGAAAAACAAAAATAAAATCATATTTCCATAGAGCAAGAAAGAGTAAGTCTGATGAAAGGATGGCATTTGGTAATCAGCTCTGTGGTGGGGTAAGAAATGAGGAAAGAGAAGAGGGGAAGGGCTGATGACAATTCCTGCACTTACTTCCGTTGCAGGCAGCCTTTACAGACTTTCTGCAAAGAAGCTCAAGAGATTTATCCAAGCATGTTAAAGTTGTGGTAAGTATAAGAAATTGTGTCATAGTACTGTGGGAAGAGGGAGGAAGGGAGAGAGAGCGAGGTGAGAGTTTAATGGCTCTGTTACTTTTCAGTTTTGAGCATGACATTTGCAACACATTCCAAGGAAAGTCTTGGGAAAGTTGTTACAAAGCAGCAACACTTCTCTTATCTGTGGCTCCATTCAGCAATTTCTCTGTGCTCTGTCACTTTGGCTTTGTAGTGTGATGGTACAGACCTGACTCCAAAGATCCAGGAGCTGAAGTTCCAGTGTATAGTGTTTTTAAACATACCCAGGTAAGCTCAAGACAGATGCTTGCAGTTATAAAATAGAACTGAAAAAAGTAAAATAAGATACCTACAAGTTGTAGTAGACTGGGCGGATGAGCAGAAAGAGTATTGCCACTGTGCTGCCTTCTTGGGAGCTAGGTGCTTTTAATACTGTTAATTAGCAATATGGAATGGGATCTGAGTTCAGGGTACAGCTAAACCATCCTTTAAAAGAAGTTGAATATCATGATACAGTGGTAGTGGAAACGATTAACAAACTCACTTTCAAAAGTTGTGCACATAACCTGCAAACAAGATAGTAAAGACACAGATGCCTGGTCTTTTGCTTAATTAGAGGTGGAGTGTGGAAAAAGGAGGCGGGGGCAGGAAGTGGGGAGGGGGAAAGGATCAATATTTTTCTGGTAAAGGAACACTAAACCATTGAAAGAAATACTCTTTTTTAACATGTTAGAAAGTGTCCTAGATAGAAATATAGCTATTTTCTTAAAAGTTGCCTATCTCCTACTCTACAGATCAGTAGTCTCCAAAATTTTTTTGATTGTGTATTGCTATCAGCAAAAAAGTTTTTAAGCACCACCCTAATATACATATATTTATTTATAAATTATATACATGTACTAATGTATTACATACATAAAAATAGAAATTAAGAATACATGTGATACAGATGAAACAAACACTATTTTAATGGATTTTTTTCATTATTTATTAAAAATGCAAACAATATTTTCTTCACGCACCCTAATTGTCCTGCCAGTTGTGGATTTTTCTTGCACATTCCCTGTGGTGCATGCACCACACCTTAGAGAACACTACTTTAGACAACCTACCACTTTGCTCCACATGCAGTGCCAAGCAATTTATCCTTTGAGTCCTCCACTGCCCTCCCTCACTGCAAGTTTCTACTTGGTGTCACCTATCCAAAGTTCCCCCTTCTAACACTCTTAGCTCACTTTTACATTCATTCTTTAGTGGTCAGGTAGATAGATGCCGTAGCTGCATCTATTCCTGCTTCTTATATCTCCCTGCCTTCTCAAGCTATGAAACATTTTGCATTCCTTACACTGTTAGAGCTTCCGAGCCAGCAGGGAGTGAGGAAATGGAGCTCCAAGGCTGGAGTTGCTGCTGCAGCCCCATGCCTGCCTAGCATAGGGGCTAAGCAGCTTTCTGGCTCAGTGGATCATCTGCAGAAAGCAAAGCAAGTGGGGAGAATAAAGAGCCGCTGCTCTGTTATATGTTTCCTGGTGTTTCTCAACTTTCCTCTCACAAAGGAACTTGCTAAAGGTTATGTTGGATAATTTATGGATGGTGTACCAGCTTGGAAACAAGAGACAAATTTTTCCCTTTTGTCCAGTCCTTGCCAGCACAACTTTTAATTGTCCTTGGACTGAATTCTGGAATGGATAGCTGGATAATTCTGGAGGACAGCAGAACAGGCTACTAGTCAGGCGACCAGTCAAGACCCATCAGGGCAAACTGCTTTCTCAAAGCTTGCTTTCCAAACCTCTTTCTGTAGGTATTGTGCTGGCACAATGCCCTGGGGAAATCCTGGAGATCACAGAGACTTTGAGCCTCAACGTCATGATGATGGCTACATTGAAGTCATTGGGTTCACCATGGCCTCGCTGGTGAGTATATTGCAGGTGCTACCCTTCCTGCAGGTGCTGCCAGACATGGTGATTTCTGTGGGTGGCATTACAGAGTGCAAAGTTGCCCTCATTACTGAAAAACCACCATGATCCCACATATTCAGTCAGCTGAGGCCAAAACATGTTCTGGTGTCAGGTTTTAAATGAGAGGAACGAATTGTAGCTTTCTAATAAAAGAAGTGTTATTTAGTAATAAAAATGTAATCTTTGCAAAATATGGGTAATTTGCATGCACAGTGCTCCCAAGTTAAACTGCAAGATTATTACAGTAAAAACAGCATCCATGCATGTTTTTACTGTGGGCATGTTCTATGGTCAGATAATTACTGCTGTTTCTTTTTAGCTTTTGTATTTTTCAATCTATGGCATAAAAATTCAAATTCTTTTGTGAAAGTGGCTACTGGAAACAAATATGAAATATCATATAAAATTATATGCCCATACAGTTTCCATGTGACCACTAAAAATGTTGTGAAAATTTAGTAATGGTTGTGGAAAATTTAGTCATATTTCTGGCACAAATGTTAACACTCTTGTTCTTCTGCTAGGCAAAGCAAATTCAACCAACAATTTTGATCTGGCATTGCACTTTCTGTCAGTGCTGTCCTTAAGGTGAACTAAAGCTGAGTTACTCTAAAAGCGATCTCACTGTAAATACCCTAGTGTCCTACTATTACAGCGCTGAAGTGGCAGTCTCTTCCGAGGATGATTAAATGCAGAGTTGGTAGCTGTCCTCGTGCTAGCGCTAATCTACCTAAGGCACTGCAGCTAGGACTTAGTGTGGCCCACAGAAGGCACATATCGAGGCTTCCTGCCAGGTTTGTGTAAGTCATGCTTAAGTCCATACTCTTGGCCTTTGTTGTTGCTATGTCTTGTGTGGACTAGGTTAAAGCTCACATGGATAAGCCTGTTTTCACTAAACTCACACATCCATTTGTTGTGTGACCTGCCCTCAGTGCATGTTGCATTCGGTGAATACTCATGATAATGGTGTTTGCTTCCTCAAAGAGAAGTTCAGACAAATCTAATCTTCAAAGTAAGCAAAAGGTTGCCTTGATCAGCAATCATTTCTTTAGAAGTCTGGCTTCAGGGTTCTTTTTTGACCTCTCTTTTTTTTTTTTTTTGGTGGATCTAGTGGATTAAGGAAATAACCTACAAGTAAGCAGAATTCTGTTTATTAGCCTACTACATGTTGTGGAATGAACATTTGTTACTTCACCCCTGAAGATTTTAGGGCGTGTTTCTGAAAACACTGTCAGAAGTCTAATTAGTGTGTACTAACTGAATTTAAGTAGTAGGGCTCTTGCAGCTGCTGTTTCTCTTTAAAGGAAGCCTATTTCAGAACTGAGGGTCTGCAAATCTACGTTGGTTGTGATGCCGAGGAACTGTTGTAACCCTAAATTGTGTTGATATATCCTAACTTGCTCTATATGTCTCCCAGATGTACTTGATTGTACTCAAGAAGGTCTGTGAGACTTAAGTAATGAGAAGTCCGAGAAGTACTTTGTAAGAAGTGTTATTATGATTATTATTGACCATATTATTAGTTGATCCATAATATTAAGCACACAGAGCAGGATTAAGGTCTTGACTTGTGTTTAGGTTGCTTTCTGTTAGTAGTATATTAATATAGGATTTTTTTTCTGCATCTGATGGATGAGAGGTAACAGTCACCTACAAATTAAAAAAATACATTTCTGCCCAAACATGCCTGCTTAGAGCTTGAAGGATCTGCTTATTGTCTGCCTTGTTACGTTTTTTTGGAATGCATTCTTGGCCATGGTATTTAATTGTTTTAAACAAAGTCTTTCCGCTTGCTCTTTTCAGTCTGTCTAGTCTCAAGTTTGAGTTGCTGTGTAAACTTTCATTTAGATTTATTAGGATTTTAGATTTTAGATTTATCTAATTCACATTGAGGACTGTATTCTGTTCAGGAAGGGGAAATCATTTTTCTGTCTCGCAGATGTACCCAATTAGAGTTATTGTTTTAAAGAGCAAATAATTAGTAGCATTACTGTTAGTGTAAAAATAAATCAACCAAAACAAATAGAAAACTTCAAGAATAAACACAGTTGTTCATTTTTACTTGCACATGCGTGAGTGTAGGTGTTTGTATGTGTGTGTGTAATATACTTGACATATACCAAGATGATGAGACGTTCAATGCATATGGTTAGATATCTGCTTGTTTCCCACCACTTTGCCTTGTGAAACTTTTAAGTTCTGCTTTGCGATTCTGGAGTGAAAATATATTTATTGCGACTCGTTAGAATGCCTCACACATGGAACACTGTGTAATGAATGCTGCCAGCAAAACTGCATTTGGATTTAACTGCCTCAGCTATCTGTTCTGAGGTGTCTTTTCTTTGTCATTCCTGTTTTTTTTTCTTATATGTGTGGTTTTTTTGTTGTTGTTCTTGTGTTTGTGGTTTTTTTTTTTTTCAGGCTGCTCTCCAAGTGGGTGGTCACGGAGAGAGGTTACATCAGTGCCGTGAGGTGACACTTTTAACATACAAGTCTATTCCCATGCAAGTGGATGGTGAACCATGTCGATTGGCTCCCTCACTCATTCGAATCTCCTTGAGGAACCAAGCCAACATGGTGCAGAAGAGCAAGAGGAGAACATCCATGCCTTTGCTGAATGAGTGAGTTGGATATGTGCATGTCCTAATGGCAGGAGGCCCCTTTGGGGCAGCATATTTAGTCATGGATTTTGCATGTACTGGACTTGCAGAGCATTTACAAAAAACAAAATAAAACAAATAAATATCACGCCTTCTGAACTCCCTTTCCACCATATTGTAAATACTTACCTGATTTTTTTTTTTAATTCTTTTATATTCTGGGTTGCCCTCTGTCTTGCTTTTAGAAAGGTGTTGTATCTTTCAGTTACTTAGAGAGGTTTGTGCAGGCTCAGCAGTGTGCTTCTTGGCTTCAGGCAGTTCTGCATACGTATGCCATTTGCCTTTGAAGTTCTTTTGATTCATTTTCTTGACTTTATTGATCTGCTTTTTAAGCTCTATTGGAGATGCTATAACAAATTGCCATAATCTAGAATTACTCAGGACATTTTGTAGTCTCTGATGTGGGAGCATGCTGCCTGGGATTGTTTATGGAGAAGGACCTAGAGGTCCGGAAAAGGCTGTTTGAACTTTTTAGGGAATCCTGCTCCAGTATAAAAACCCAAATGAGAAATGAGTAGTCTAAAGATGAACAGAGAAAATCTAAGATAACTGGAAACCAGGAACATGTGAAGAAGAAAAGACAGGACTGCCATTCCTTCATAATTAAACGTTATTTCTAAGTACTGCAGAGATATTTTAACATAAAAAAAAAAAAAATCAAATTTTAACCTATAAAAGTGCCCAACCAATAAAATAATTTAGATTATTTTGTAAAGTTGATTATTGTACTTCTCATGTAGAAGGCCTTCATTGCCATTAAAATAAATGACATCATAGTAAGTGCCTTTGCTGTTTTTCATCACATATTCTTAAAGTGAAGCAAGCCAGTCTGTCCCTTCTACAAAGGTACCGAGCTAAAGTTATCACATTTTGTTCAAACATCCATACACTGAGGTTTTCATTTTTCTGGGGAGTTGGGTGGAGGATTTTGCTGTTGCAGCTGTAATGGTGAGGCAAAGTTTATGAAGAGATATAATATCTTTCATTAGACTAACTCATATAACTGGAGAAAACAGACAGGATTTCAGGCGTGCCTGTTCTCTTTCAGGTATCTTAAAGGTTATCTGTGTATTTCAACCATATCAACTAGTGGAAGATATTGCTTCAGCAATTTAGAGCTGGTTGTCAATCTGTTCATGTAATCAAAACCTCCCTGGTTACTTTCAGTATCTTCCTGTTCAATTTAGCACGCTGTGTTCTCTTACTGAGACTAATGCTTGAAGCTTCAGTAGAAGCCCATGTCTGTAATGTGCAACTCCTATTTGTCTGGAAAATACAGAAGGTATACTCATCTCTCTTGAGCAGTGAAGAGTAGCAGACTCTTGCCTGTGGGCCGCGATGCCTGATTTCATCCAACCTCAACTCAATTGTTTGAAAAAGCTAGAATTGAGCAAAGAGCAATCCTGGGGATCATCTTCTATGCTGAGGGAGGTTAATGCAAATGTAAAATGAAAATTTCTGCTATTTCTATCTGGTAACTAGCATAATTAGGCTTGGATTTTGAGATTTGAGTTTAAACTGTGGTAGGGAAATACAAATTCATAATATATGCCAGTTGTCAAGAGGATCTTGTTTGTGGTTTAGCTTGGTTTCAATGTGCTATGGTACACTACATTGCTGTCAGTCCTTTGATTTGGCTGAGATATTTACCTGCAGACCTATGTCTTGCGAAAACACAAATGATCTGTCAGGCACTGTAGTCACAGCCTCAGGTATCATAAATGATGTGTGTATATATTTATATCTACATCCATACCTATATATCTCTGTGTGTATGTACTTTGAAGTGTTGAAGGAGAATGAGAGAGAAGAGTTGAATTTCCTGGTGTGATAAAAAGTAAATGGCATGTTAAAGGTTAAACTCTAGGTAGCATTTAGTATTGTAAGAAGTTCATTCAATACGATGCTGATTTGCAGTATTTCACAAGAGAGAAAATTTTCAATTAAATATGTTTATCTATGTTTCTTAGCTTGATATCTGGAATATATCTCCCTATTCCATTGAAATCTCCCAGAAAGCCTTATATTTCATTGAGCGTGGTAGATTGTTCTCTTATGACTGTCATCTGAATGTTGGATGTGTGAGATAAGTGGGTCTGGAGCTATCCTACTAATTGTTAGACAGATGTTCTTGAGCTCCTTGCCAGGAAAGTGATTAAAAAATTATCTCTCATCACGGTAACGCAGAGTTGCTGCTATTGTTGGCTTTGATGTTATTGCTAGATAAGGAGAGCAGTAGGAATGCTCTTTGGAGTTTTAGCTAGTCCAGTGTTATAAGTAGAAAAATACTTAATTTGAAGAAGTCTTACGTTGTATTTCTGTTTTCTTTGTTCTGGAGGTTTTAAGAAGAGGGGCTTTAGAGAGGATAGTGAGTTTGTTGTTTGCCTTGACTTTCAAGGGAATAATAGTATTTTAAAATTGAAGAGCTCATATGTAATGTAGCTGAGTGAGAAGAATAAAGATTTCGTGCTTCTCTCACTTGGGAGTGGAAGGGCTTTAGAAACATGATTCTCTTCTGACTGTAAGTATTACCCGTCATCCTGATTGCAGCTGTTGTCCTTCAAAACCTGTAGACACTCTGAAAGGACACTTGTATATGAGAAAAAGGTATCTGACCTTCTTTGACCTGTTTTTCCTTCCATTTTCCCACCGTTGTGCTTTCAGCACCTTCTAATTGCACAGAAACTGTCTCAATGTGGTTCTACACAGACTTTCAAGGTTGAAGCTCCTATAGATTAAGAGTCCTTGTTTTATTTGTTACTGAAATATTTGACTTTTTCAAGGTGTGGGGAAAAATTCAGCAGCACTTTTGACAGTGTAAAAGTTCCTAGTCTTTAAAAAAAAAAAAAATTGACTATGGAATCAAATTAAGGAATAAAAATCCAGTGTTTATACGGAGCTACTTAAACTGAAGGAGCCTCCCTTCCCTGTTGATAGCAGCAGCATGAAAAGCTTCATCCAAGCTATTAGGGAACAAGTAAATATAATATGCTGCATTTTGTCGTAGCTGGGCAAATTACTGACAATTAATATTTTATTCAGTTATTTCATCTTTTGCAGCTGAATTTTCTATAAAGAAATTTCTTAGTATATTAATTGTCCCAAACTATTCATGCTGCAACTAGTGATCTTTCTTCTTACTGTTCATCAAGCATTCATTTTTTTTTTTTAGTATTTCCTTTTGGAAAGTTAAGCTGGTTTGATGTCACATGCAGATCATGTGAGTACTCTTGAGTAGGTGAGGAAGACCTGTTTATGGTTTGTACTCTTCTGATAACTTTAAAGCTTTTAATTGAAGCATAATGGAGGAAAGTCATTACTTGGTGAATACAGTTACAGTGCTTCTAATTTGTTTCTAATGGAGGCTGTCCAAATGTAAAAGGCAGGCATAATCTATTCCTCATCCTACAGTGCATTCCATACAATGGAGACAAGTAACAATCTAATAAAATATTTCAAGCCAGAAACAACATTTTGCATGCAAGGAATATACAGCATAAGGTGGTGCTATTCACACTTGGTTATGGATAGTAGGTTGTGGGGAAAAAAAGATGGGTTCTTTTCTTCTCATATGTCTTTTCTGTTTGTACCATCAAAAGCAAGTTTTTGCTACAATGAGATCAGCAGACTCAGTTTTTCTGCAAAAGACTGAATTATGTTCTTATTCTCCTACCTTCAAAAGACTTGCTGGCTAAGTTTCGTTCCTATTCTCCACTGTTGATCATGGTAATATGTGAAAGAGACAAAATAGAGCTTGGTTTTCTGTGATCAAGCCAAGAATGTGGTTCTCGTGTAAGGTATAAGCAAAATGTATTTAGAATAAGAAGAGAAGCTGTAGTTCTGTTTTCTAGGAGTCATTTTCTGATTAGAAACTACTGTTTAGTATGCTGCTCAGTAAGTTTCAGTTAATGATCACTTTCTGAATCTCAAAAGACACTATTTTACTTTCACTGGCTTTTACTTTGGGTTGAGGAAGAATGTCCTGCATGATGGAAGAGAAAGAAGAGGGAAGAACTTATAGATAAAACATTCCATACGCTTTAGAGAAACAAAGGGACCGTCTGAGCATAAACACTAGAAGAGAGTCAGTCTTGGGAGTCACTATATATAAAATGCATGTTTCCCTAAGGTACGTGAAAGAAGAATGGAGACAGCAATTTGTCATTGTGGATACAAAATCGTCAGTAAGGGTATTATTTTTCTTAAATGTTAACTAAAGTTGGCCAACCTTTGGAGACAATTCCATCCATTCAGATCTTGGCTTTGATGTTTGTTTGCGTTTCTGGACCTGCTTCCAAAATCTGCTGCCTTGAAATTTTTCAGTGCCTGTGGAACAAATCCTTGGGCTCCTTGTCTTCCTTGTATAGCCATGCGCCTAGCTTGTCATTGGTCCTCCTCACTCATGTACTTTAGAAAACTCCAGTGTGCCATGTAGCAGTGATGTTCTCTGTTTGCATGTCCTCTTTTGCTCTTGGCTTCCTAGTGTGAATTTGGAGCTCTGCATGTCTCTTCATTCAACTTTTATGTGACACATTCCTTTTGTTTTTGTTTAAATGTTGTATGTCTTTCTCTTTCTTTCTTCTCTTCCACTCTTTCTCTCTCTCTCTCCTCCACCCTTGCCTTTTTCCTTGTCTATCCACACTGTGTGCTGCCTTTCTGCCGACCACTCATTTCTTGCTGCCTATAGTATCCATAAAGTGCAGTCTGCTGACCTGAGAAGAGTCTCAGCTCCCCCCGATTCCTTCATTGTGTGAGTATCTGACTATTTTCTACTTTCAAAGTTCCATAGTTTTTTGCTATTGCCCTGTGTGTTATTCAACCAGGAGATGGGGCAGTAAAATCCAGTGACAATTGGGAAGTGGGTGACAGCATGGCAGACATGGGGGTGTGGTCTCAGCAGCAAAAGCACAGTTCCACAGTACACGAGTAGGTGAGCAGGGCGTGTCTGGTGATGATGACCA